TGGGCCACAACATCATTTGTACTTATTTTCAAAGTCATGCAGAGGTTAGCAAAAGGTGATGATCACCCAAGTGTTCGTCAACAGATGAATGGATACACAAAATGGAGTCTATTCCTACAAGGAGGATAATTCAGCCATAAAGAGGAACGAATTCTAACACATGCTTCAGTGTGGAGGAACTGTAGGAGCACTATGCCACACAAAAGAAGCCATCCTTTAAAGGACAACGCTGTATGATTACACTTACAGGAAACGTACAGAATAGGCAAAGTCAGGGACAGGAAGGAGATGAGAGGCTGCCAGGGCCCGGGAGAGGCAAGGACGGGGAGTTATCGCTCAGGGCACAGAGTGTCTGTTTGGGATTATGGACAAGGTCTGGAAATGGACAGTGGTGACAACTGCACAACACTGTAAAAGTAATTAAGGCCGTGCTCGCTTCGGCAGCACATATACTAAAATTGGAACGATACAGAGAAGATTAGCATGGCCCCTGCGCAAGGATGACACACAAATTTGTGAAGCGTTCCATATTTTTCACTCATTTATGGATAATTAAGACCATTATACACTGATGAACAAAAATAGATACAGAGGCAGAGCAACATCGAATAGACTGTCAAACTACAGCGGGAAGGCTGGGGAGGGTTGGGGGTGGGTAAGAGATCAACCGAAGGACTTGTATGCATGCATACGAGCATAACCAATGGACATAAGACACTGGGGGGCATGGGAGGCTAGGGGAGGGTCAAGGGGAGAAAAAAAAGGAGACATATATAACACTCTTTGTAATACTTTAAGCAATAAAACAATTTTTAAAAAAGTAATTAAGGCCACCTAATTGTATACTTAAATTAGTTAAAATGGTAACTTTCATGTTATATATATTTTACCACAACAAAAACTTTTCCAAAAAAAAAAAAAAAAAGCACCGAGGGTCCTCGGGCCAGGAGGAGGATGCGTCATTACCTGGTTATCACTCTCCACCTCCTCCTCGCTGGTCTCCTCCCCTAAAGCCAAGAGGCCGAGAGCATTCTTGTCCTCATGGATGGAGCCCAAGAGACCCTGCATATGAGCAGAAGTCCTGAGACCCTGCAAAGGCTCCAAAATAGAGAAAGAAAGTCAAGGGGCTCACAAGGAAGACCTTCAGGTGACCTTCAGAATGCTCTCCCCGCTCTTTCGGTTTACATTTCCTCCATGGGAGCCGGCCACATCCACAAAGCTGACCCTGGTATCTGCGATGCACACTGACCCCTCCTTCCCGGCGGCCACTGCCCTGGCTGCAGGACTGCAGACACTAGGGCGTGGGGCCGTGCCAGGGAGAGCCCACTTTCAGCAGCACACAGGTGTGACGCGCCTTCCCAACTGGACTATGAGCTTTGAGGCCCCTGCCCTCTGTTTCTCATCTGTGGGCCACATAATTCCTAGCATGGTACAAGGAGGCCCACAGTCACTCAATACACTTAACATATGAAAAGCACTTACCAGCGTGAGTTCTCCAGGCTGACGAGACTCCACGGAGCTCCCCAAGCTCACACTGTGAGAGGCACGAAGAGCAGAGAGCGGGGCATCCACGAGGCCTCGTAAGGGAGCCAGGCCCCCAAGGGGAACGTGGACTGGGGCTAGTGAGGAGCCCAGGGCCTGGTCAACAGAAAACGTCTTGTTATAAACCTAAGAAGCCAGGTGGCTCTGCGAGGTGCAGACAGATACAAAAATGGAACATCTATATCCTGCCACTCAAATTCAAACCACCTCCATCCAGGGGCTGCTCATGAAACACAGCCTCCAGAATCACCGCCCTACCAGCCTGAGAAACCACAGCTGGTGCCCCGACCGCATGCCCCTGCGGCTGCCTCGCAGCACACATGCCCCTGCCACTGGCAGAGGCTGCAGGGCTGTGTCCTTCCAGGAGCCACAGGAAGGGCAGGGAGGGGAGCAGAGCCTGGAGCTCATCTACCAGGATGAGAAGTCTCTACAGATCAAGTGTAAACTGACGAACGGGGAAAAGGCAGTGCAAGCACATTGTTTACACATATGAAGTCAACACAGAAGCGAGCAGGTGCTCGGCGAGGGGCACCCCGAGAACTGCTGTCTTCTGTCAGAAGCCTTTGGTGCTATCTGACTGTGTAACAGGGGCATGTCTGCCCTTAAATATTAACTCCAAACAATAAACGTGAGCAACAGAAGAGGGGCTCCCTTGCCCCGCTGCACTGAGGAGGAAAGCGGCTGATGGAGGCCTTCCAGAAGCCTGCTCCTCCCTGCTCTCCGACGGCTCCACGCCAGCAAGGGCGGGAGAGCCAGGCCAGCACCCGGGGCCTGAGACCTGGGCTACCCCCACACTCCTGGTCCTCAGTTTACCCCTCGGAAAGACAGAGATGTGTGTCCTATCACTGCAAGTCTGTGGAGAAGTTCAAATGAGGTCATGAATGCGAAGAGCATATGCAGGTGGTCCAGGGCGACCCCACGCTATGGAATCACTATTATTGTAGGGACTCACACCACACTAGTCTGGCCTTAGAAGCAGAGGCAAGGGTAGCATCTGGGAACAAATTTACAAAGAGCTCTCTAAAATCACTTCACAAACTTAAAATGTATAAAACAACCAAAAATCCATTTCTCTCCCACCCCACTGGGACTGGAGAGAGAAAGGGAACCTGAGAGGGTGAGAGTTAGAACACGCAGACGGTCCACTCCTCACCCACAACCTGGGCCGAGCGGCCGATCCCAGGCGGGCTCTGCCTGCACAGCGCCCCCTCCTGCAGGGGAAGGGCATCGATGTCCACCTGACAGGTGACACTGGAGCCCCTCCCAGCACTTTGCAGATTCCCAATCACCTGGCCCAGAGTGGGGTGTCCGTCAGGCAGGAAAAGAGGTGATGCTGGTAACACTGGCCAGCACTACCCAAGCACCAGGCACCGAGCTAGCGCCCTCCATGTCACATCTCCCTGACCTCTGGCCACTGCCTAAGGCCATCGTCCTCCCCACAGGAGCCAAAATAGACTGGTGAGGCCCAAAGTCACAGAGCCAGCAGGGGGGCAGAGATGGGCTGGAAGCCAGGGCTCTCCCTAAGCCAGCATTTTCCTTTGCCTCCTGGTTGGGGCAGAAGAGGGGCCCAGGCAAGCTTCTCGGAGGTGAAATGGGAGCGAACCAAACCCGTTCCCCCAACTCCCCCCTCCTAACCCGCCCATGTAGCAGCAAGCACAATACTTCCCACACTGCATTTATGGGAAATTACAGCCTCCTAACGTGGCTAATGTGCTAATGTGCTGGGGGCTTGAGGGAGGGAGACAGGCATGCTGAGGGCTTTGCTCTCCGGGCCTTTACCAAACCCGTGGTTAGCGGGGAAATTATACATCCCTGGCCCTAGCCGGTCATCTTCTAGAAATGGCCATTAACTCTGGTGATGGCTGCACGTGGTGCTGTCCCTCAAAGCGGATGCACTCGCTGCCATTGCGCTAACTAGAACCTACAGGCTGACCTCAGCCCAGTGGGTATCTATGGCGCACAGCGGTCACTAGGGCAGGCGGAGAGTAGTGCACGCCAGCCATTAGGAGCCTGAGGGACACCAGGGAAAGCCATAGCGGGCAAGAGAACAGCCAGGGAGATTCAAATGGACCCCATGGTCTCTGATCCAACTTGACTTCTTCTAAGTGAAGAATATGGTGTGACTCATTAAAGGGATAAAGGGTCAAAATGACAGGGAAAGCCCTCTCCCGCTTTGGTCCATCCCAGTAGGGGAGGAAGTGAAGGCAAACAGGGCCTGCACAGCTTGGCACGGGTTCACATGGTCGCTGGGAACCCTGGGAAGCCAGGAGCAGAAGCAGCTTCCTGGCTGGCAGAGCCTGGGCCTCCGCCCGTGACATGACCCTCGAGCTCTGTGTGATCCTGAGGAGGGACGGATCCAGAGCTGGGCAGGGTCTGACTAGGAGGACCTCTCTCTCCAATCAGATCCTGGGGAGGTACCTAACCGGCAGGAGTGCTACTGCTCACCCTCAAAACTCATCACCTCCCCAGCCTGGGAGGCCTCAGGAAGCCCAGGTGCCTTCCACCCTCTCCTGCAGGTGATGGGGTGGAAGAGACGGGAAATCCCTGTGCCCCCCAGGTGGCCACCCTGAGCATGGAGGGACCAATCGTTACCAAGGGAGGGCACACGGCAGGTAAGAGACCTGCTGGCCGCACAACCTGCCCCGTCGCCGCGGCGCCGCGGCCTGGAGGCCACGCGGAGAAGCCTACCTGGTGGAGAAGCTGCATCTGGCCTGGCTCTACAGCGAGCCTTTCGTTGGTGCTCAGCTCGACTAGCGCCTGCCTGAGAGGGCTGCTGCTTGGCGGGAAACAGGCTTGCGGAGCGGCCTCCTGCCCAGCCGGGGCCAGGGCCAAGGCCCCCTCCTGAGGATGCTCCAGCTGCTCTGGTCCCCAAGCCAGAAACCTGGAGTCTCTCTCCAGGGCTCCGATGGCCTCGTGCTCCCCCACACTAGACAGCCTGGAAGACTCGGCCGCCACGCAGCAGACCACGCTGGCGAGGTCTTTGCACGGCCTTTCCTGCATGCTCTCGGGCAGCCCCAGGCCCTCCAGCTGCCGGGAGATCTTGGCCATCTGCAGGATGTGCTGGTAGAACCTCTGGTCCTCAGAATAGTCTTCGCTCTCTGACTGCTCCTCAGGAGAGCTCTGCAGGCGGGGCGACTGGGGCACCAGGAAGGGGCCGGAGGGCAGCCCTCTGGGCCCGGGGCCTGACTGACCCCCACCCCGCCCGGACCCCTGAGAGCTCTGCAGGTCCCACGGGAAGTTATTCACTTCGCCCATGACCTCAGAGCCGAGGGGAGAAGCCAGGCCACTGCCGCCGCTGCTCTCTAAGTCAGGCTCACACTCACTGGGCCTCCTGTCTTCTTCGGGGGGCTCTGGACACGCTAGGGGCTGTCTCCTCTCACTGGCACTCCCTGAAGGGGCACTCTGGGCTGGCTCTGACGCCGGAGTGTCAGGTGGTATTCGGAAGAGCCCTGGGCATGGATCTCCCGCTGAGGCCCCGAGATCCCCAGGGTCAGTGGGCGCTGCTTCCTTGCAGCTCCCAGGGCTGTCCTTGTCGACAAGCCTGGAGACCTGTCCCATCCACAGTCCTGGGGGCTCTCGCCTCCTCCTTCCCCAGCCCACACCCGCCCCTTCTCCAGAAACACCCTGCCAGCGCAGGCCTTCAGCAGGGCCACTGTCCAACAAGAGCAGCTGGCACTGCCTGCCGGGCAGCATCTGGTCCGAAGAACAAGGGGAGAGTGAGGGGTGCCCCTCGGGGGACGCGGAGGGAACGGGGCTCTGGCCTTTGTCCCCCGCAGGGCCAGTGCTGTGCTGCACCCCTGTCAGCTGTGGGCCCTTGCTGGTTTCAGAGAGGCTGGAGTGCACAGAGGCCTGGCTCCTGCTTCCTAACACCTCCTGCCCGTTCTGGAGGGGCCCGCTGTCCTCGGAGCCCAGAGCGCTGAGTTTGGTCCTCATTTCCAGCTCTTCTATCTCAGGGTCTGAAAACCCCAGGTAGATTTTCTCAGCCAGCTTCTGGGGTTTCTCCAGACCCTGCTGATCACCTAATTCTGTCCGGCACTGGGCTGGGGCCCTGCCTAAGATCTTCTCCACGTCGGCAAAGAGCTGGTGGGTTCGGGAAGCATGGCCTCTGGAGAGCGGCTGCAGCTTGCTGGGTGGGGTGCCCAGGAGGGCCCAGGGGGTGTCCCCCAGCATGCATGGACTCTTCCCTCTCTGAAAGAAGCCCTCATTTCTAGCCTGCGTGTCCTGGTCTAGATCCAGATCAGCAAGCCCAGGTGGGAGAGAGGATGGGCCGCGGAGAGAGGAGGAGGAAGGCAGAAGTCCCTGCTCAGGCGGTGTGTCCTAGATGGATATATAAACATGCAGAGGACACTAAGACAGAGCACTCTGGGGTCACCCCTGCCACCTCAGCCCGTGGCAAGCCCTTAGCAGAGACCCACGTCCACGTACAGTAAAACGAAGCCCAAAGAGGGAAGGGAGCTCAGAGCTCCCTGGGCTTTGTTTTCGGGCCCCATTTCCTTTTCATAGAGAGGAGGCTAGACTAGGTCCATGGCTTACGAACCCTGCAGGCCGGTCCCACATGGCACCCTGGGGCGCTACAGGGACGTGCGATGAGGAGGGGGCATCCCCAAGATCCACAGCCCGGGTGCCACCGCAGGCACCGCGTCCTCTCTACCCTGGACTCCAGAGGAACTGACCCGAGACAGCCTCCACCACTAACAAAGCCTGAAAATCGCCAGCCAGACCAGCCTAAGGTACCATCACGCTCTCAGCCCTGCGGCTGCTTAACTCTAGGAAACCCACCAACCTCCTCCAGGCCTGCCGGCATGAGGAAGGAAGGGAGAGACGAAGGGAACCTGCTGGGAGCCACGCCCTGAAGCACAGCCTCGTCTTCTACCGAAGGCAGAGCTGGTGCCGCCAAGAGAGGGCCTGGCAGTGAGAGTGCCGGGGCAGGAAGACATCCTGGAAGAGCCATCAACCTGCAGGCACTCACAGGCAACTCCTCCGGGCCTGTCTCAGAACCGTGCGCAGTGACAGGAATGATACAGGGTCAGTTCGTGAGCAACCACCAATGCCAGACTGGCCTTGGGAAGGACGGCAGGTGGGAAGCCTTCCCGGGAGGAGGCGCTGGTGGGAATGAAGACTATAAACAAAAGGGCAAGTCAATGGACTTGACAAGGTTGGTAGGCCCAGTGTTCCTGCCCACCACCCACGCTCCCGCAGCCTGCCGCCTGCCCACGCCTGAGTGAAGGGACGGAGGCAGCTTCCCTGCCCGGCCACAGCTGCAGCCACGGCCACGGCCACGGCCGCTGGGAATGCCCGGCCTCCTCGGTACAGCTCCCACTCAGCTTCTCTGCCTATAAAATGAGGCGATGACGCTACCTTCTAAAAGCAGACATACTGAAGGGACAAATAAAGCAAAAATGGAAAAAGCACCTTCAAATCTGAGCACAACAGCCACTGGAGACCACGGATATCCCACTGCAGTCACATTTCAGTTACTCGTCCCTAACCTAGGACCCTGGCAGCACAGCCCCCGGAAGTGGAGAAAGCCCTACAGCTTTTCTCAGGGACCTGGCAGGCACTGGTGCTCTGACAGCTCAATGCGGTTCATCTGACGTCCAGGATCCCACCACTGAGACACACACGGGCTCACCCAGGCCCCCTGGCCTCTGCCAGCTGCTCCCTGTGCCCCTCTCCAGGGGGCAGATGGCATCACTTCTCTCAGTATTCCTGCAAACCACCCTCAGCCGGGCACTCTGCCGCCAATCCTCCTCTGTAATATGTGCTTCCCAAGGGGGAAAAAGGAATTGTTTAAAAACAGTAACAACTTCAGAAGCTGAAAGAAAAAGTGCCAGAAGACTGGCACACTCCGGGGGATGTGCCATCGAGAAATGACTATCAGTCGTTATTCTTCACCTCCCAGCTGCACACACCTAGCGGTTCCCCGTATCACTTCAATGGCAGCCCTGGCCCCTCTGAGCTGGCGTCCACTGGCTCACCATGGCGCTTTTGGGGGTCTCTTTGTCCTTCTTGTCTTTCTTTTCCTTTTTCTTCTTCTTGTCTTTCTTCTTAACGGCCCCAGAAGACGACAGCTTCCCTCGTTCCTGGATCACCAAGTTCCGATAGTGCCCATCGCATGGATGGTCCCACGTGGACTGCCCATTGGCAAAGTTAAAATAGTAAATATCGCCTGTGATGTCCTGGCTGGGGATGAGCAGAGGCCAGCAGTTAGTCCCTACTCAAGTCCAAAGCTATTTAGGGAAAAAAGTAGGAGAAAAATGATGAGGCAGAGGAGGAGGAATTGGGGGGAAGGGAAAGGAGAGAGCAGACAGAAGGAGAGAGGAAAACAGGAAAAGGTAACACAAGGCTGGAGGGTAGCATTTAGCTAAGAAGGAAGGAGTTAACTTAGATAGGAACGCAGGATGGGATGCTTACATGGAGCTGTAAAATCATTGGGGCTCCTGGGAATTCATGCTAGACTGGTGTAGGAATAAACTCGGTTTGAGATAGTTAAGTACAAATACTATGGTATACTGGCGGTAAAATCTAGGATAGACCTTGCTTAACATTTTTATAAATGGTTGGAGGAAGAGAGATACATTGGGAAAGCTCTGGTTTTACAAAAGCCTCCAAATGCGTAAGAGGTGCCAGTCCAAGCTAGTGGGATCAGCAACAGAGGAAATAATGCAGAAGGTGGGTTTCAAGAATTTGAACTACACCACGGACAAGTCCAAAATGCTGCAGCCATTTACCCTGCCCACCGTCATCAATCCCCCCGTCAGACAAGTAACAGGAAAAACCGCATCACAAATGCAGTACAAAAGACGTAATGTCCGGGGCACATCCCAGAGCAAAGGCTTGTAAAGCTTTCCTGAAAAGCCCGGGAAAGGAGGAAAATGAAAGAGAGACTCCATGTTCCTGAATAAACAGATTCCAGTCTGTAAACAAGCCAACAATCCTCTAATCCATGTGATCCCAGTGGAACCCCTGTCCAGCTCCTTATGAAACCTGACAACTCAATCTCTATTCAAATAAGATAGAAAATACACAGCAGTAAAGAGGGGAACATCAGGGGTACTTAGTATCAGGGTTATGTATAAAAAGAAGCTATACAAATGGCCACATGGGAAGATGCTCAACATCACTCAGCATGAGAGAAGCGAAAGTTAAAACAACAATAAAATACCCCTCCACACCCATTAGCATGACTAGTATCAAAAAAGCAGAAAATAACAAGTATTGACAAGGATGCGGAGAAACTGAAACCCTTGTGCTCTGTTCGTGAGAATGTAAATGGTGCAGCCACTGTGGAAAACAATATGGCAGGTCCTCAAAAATTGAAAACAGAGCTCGGCCAGCATGGCTCAGTGGTTGAGCATCAACCTATGAACCGTGAAGTCACGGTTCAATTCCCAGTCAGGGCACATGCCCGGGTTGTGGGCTCGATCCCCGGTGTGGAGTGTGTAAGAGGCAGCTAGTCAATGATTCTCTCATTGTTGATGTTTCTTCCTCTCCCTTCCTCTCTGAAATCAATTAAAAAATATTTTTTTAATTGAAAATAGAATTACTATACGACCCAACAACTCAACCTCTGGGTATATACCCAAAAGAATGGAATGCAGGATTCAAACAGACATTTGTATATAGGCCCTGGGAACTTGGGTTTTAATGCCGATGTTCACAGCAGCATTACTCATAACAGCTGCAGGTGGAAACAACCCAAATATCCACTGACAAAAAGTGGGTAAACAAGATGCTGTACACACACACAGAGGATATTATTCAGTCTTTAAAAGGAACTAAATTCTGAAGAATGCTCCCACATGGATGAGCCCTGCAGGATCTACGCTAAGTAAAATAAGCCAGTCACAAAAGGACACGCGTTGCATGAACCTACTTATGTGACATACCTCGAATAGACAAGGTCATAGAGACAGAAAGTAGACCAGAGGTAACCAGGAGCTGGAGTTTCAGTTTAGGAAGATAAAAGTCCTGGAGATGGGTGGTGGTGATGGTCACACAATACTGTGAATTACTTAATGACACCGACCTGTATATCCAAAAATGGTTAAAGCAATAAATTTTGCTATTTAAAAATATTCTGTAACTTACAACTGTAGGACCTCGAGTACAACTGCACAGAAGTGATGACAATGGACATTTCTGCCTTGTTCTTCAGTGCACAAGAAAGCATAAAGACAATTAACAGACAAGAAGCTAAGAGAAAATAAATAAATAAATAAAATACAAAAAGAAAAAAAATAATAATAAAGTAATAACAATAAAAAAGAAGCTAGGAGAAACAGTAGTATAAAATTAATGCCCCAGAGAATCAAAGAGCTCCAACTGCTTAACAAAAATAAAGAGATAAACAACACAATAGACAAAAAGGCAAAGGATATAAACAAGCAAATCACAAAAGACAAACCTTGGCCAACTGACGGCCAACTCAACTCTATGAACAACTTGGGAAATATAAGTTAAAACAATCAGATATAATTCCTTGCCTTCAGACTGACAATTTTTTGGATAGATAATTTTTTATAATATTTTCAAATGAACAATCATACGTGCTATTGGTGGGATTAAAAAATAATTTAATTATAATTAAATAATAACTAACAATATTTAAATTCTGCACATCTTGCCCTAGCCGGTTTGGTTCAGTGGATAGAGCATTGGCCTGCAGACCGGAGGGTCCCGGGTTCGATTCCGGTCAAGGGCACGTACTTGGTTGCAGGTCCTCCCCAGCCCGGGCCCTGGTTGGGGCTCGTGCAGGAGGCAATCAATCAATGTGTTTCTCTCAACGGATATTTCTGTCTTTCCCTCTCTCTTCCACTCTCTAAAAATCAATGGAAAAATATCCTCAGGTGAGGATTAAAAAAAAAATAAATAAATTCTGCACATCTTTTCACACAACAATTAAAATTCTAGAAATTATTTCTAAAGAAACACATACAAAACTTCGGGCAATATACTTAACTGAATGAAGAAAACATCTGCCCTATCCTCACCCCATGCCAACATGAATAAATACGAGAATAATATATAACAACAATTACAACAATAAAATAATATGACAAAAAAAGTTTTCAACTCTGCCAGACAGAAGGAGAGAATCGCACATGCCAGACGCAGAAGGAAACGGGAGCTCGGAGTGAGAAGTGCGTGACATGGCAGGTCGAGGCTGGTACCTGACCTGGGCACAGGCCTGGGAACTTGTGTTTTAATATCAATTTAGGGACACAAAATGCAGTCTTAGGCCTCCCTGAGTTTAGTAACTGGAAATGAGAAGCTTGCATTTACCTGTGGGCCTTTAGAATGCTCCCTCCGTGAATAAAGTAACCCTGAGAGCCATGGAGACCAGGAAGCATGCCACCCACTCAGGCTCTAGCAGGGATAACTGAAACCCCAAGACACTTGTAGGTATAGAGGCCAAGATGTGTTAAGGAAACCCAAAGTCAGGAAACTGGTACAAAAATGCAGTCCTACACCACTGAGAAACCGTGGACAGAAGCCACAATAAAGCCACTCGGCAACTAGGGATGAGATGCTTACAGAAAGTGACCTACAGGTGCGCTCACAAAGTGCACAAATGATCACAAACCCGGAGCAAACAGCTTGCCCGACAGAAAGGCTGTGACACAATGAAGAGAAGCAGCAGCACATCAAAAGCCTTGGCTCCCGGACTTTGTGGCCTCAGGGGAGCGACATGGGCGTGAAGTTGGAGGTGTTTCGGAGGGAGCTGTGGCCGCCTGAGAAGGAGGACCAGCGCCAAGAACTGGAAGAATTCAAAGCGAGGATACGGAAGCAGCGGGAGGAGAAGCTCCTTCGCGCTGCCCAGCAGAGCGCCTGAAACCCCCAAGTGCCCGCGTGCCACCCGTGAAACAACACACACTCAGTTCTTTCTCCTGGAAAAAAAAAAAAAAAAAAAAAAAAAAAAAAAAGCCTTGGCTCCCGAGAACACTGAAAGAAGACGGAAGAACTACATTTACAATTATTGTAGGAGGGAGAAAGGAGTAGAACCCACAATGAAGGAACACAATTCTAAAAATCACACCCAGCCCTAACCAGTTTAGCTCGGTGGATAGAGCGTCAGCCTGCAGACTGAAGGGTCCCAGGTTCGATTCCGGTCAAGGGCATGTACCTTGGTTGCGGGCACATCCCCAGTAGGGAGTGTGCAGGAGGCAGCTGATCGATGCTTCTCTCTCATCGATGTTTCTAACTCTTTATCCCACTCCCTTCTTCTCTGTAAAAAAATCAATAAAAAAATATTTTTAAAAAAAAAAATCATACCCAGACATACTGAAAATAAGACAGAACTTACAGGAATTGGTAGAATCATTATATATCCGTTAGTAGTCCTGCACACAAACCTGTGTGCCAGTAGCTCACTGCAGCCCTCCAGTAGCTCTCCACCCGCTGCCCCACCCTCCTGTAGCTCCCCCCACTCCCCCTCACCCCTGCCCCCCCCCCATAGCTTGCTGCCCTGCCCCCTCCTGTAGCTCTCCGCCCACCGCTTGTAGCCAGTAGCTCACTGCCGCCCTCCTATAAGCTCTCTGCCCGCTGCCCCACCCTCCTATAGCTCCCGCCTGTTCCCCCTCACCCCCGCCCCCTCCTCATAGCTTGCTGCCCTGCCCCTCCTGTAGCTCTCCTCCACCAGCTTGTAGCTCACTGCCCCACCCTCCTGCTGATCCATGATCCAGTCTTTATGCGTTCGGTTGTTACACTTCACGGCATAACACCATTTGCATATTACATCTTTATTACATAGGATATATATATATTTTTTTAATCCTCACCTGAGAATATTTTTCCATTGATTTTTCTTTTTTTAGAGAGAGTAGAAGAGAGAGAGACAGAGAGAAACATCAATGTGAGAGAAACACATCGATTAGTTGCCTCCTGCACGAGCCCCGACCAGAGCCTGGGCCAGGGAGGAGCCTGCAAACAAGGTACACGCTTGACTGGAATCGAACCTGGGATCCTTCGGTCAGCAGGCTCTATCCACTCTATCCACTGAGCTAAACCGGCTAGAGCAAATCATTACATTTTTTAAAAAACAAGTAGATAGGGTGGAGGGAGGCAAAAAGGGAGAAAATGAAAGACATTTGTAATACTGTCAACAATTAAATTTTAAAAAAACAGGTAGTTTAAACAATAAATTTAACATAGAAAAAGAAACAAATAGTGAATTAAAAACATGCCAAAGGAAATTATCCAGAATGCAGCATGCAAGATAAAAGTAATCTTTGAAATATGAAACAGATGGGGAGTGGGAGCGGCTGGGGAGAGGTCAATGGGGGGAAAAGGAGATACATGTAATACTGTAGACAATAAAGAATTTACATTAAAAAAACAGACTAGCCATTTTCAGGCTTCATCAAAAAATAAAATATGACACAGAAGAGACAGAGAGGATAAAAAGAAAGGTCCAACATACTTCTAGTAAGAGTTCCAGAAAAGTCATATGGTTGAGAATATTCCAAAATTGAAGAGAGGCATGAGTCCTCAGAGTAAGAGAGCACTCCCAATCCTGAACATGGTAATTAAAAATATATCCATACTTAGGTACACTGTAGTGAATCACAGAACACCAAAGTTAAAAACAAAACAATGAAAACAACCAGAGGGTAAGAACATGATTGCCTACAAAGGAACAACAAATTAGACCAAATAAACATGTGTTATTTGAAAAATCAGAAGCCAGAAGATGATGGTGCATAATATTGTCAAAGGGTTGTTCATATTCAACAAACAATTCTATACCCAATGAAACTATCTTTCAAGAGTGACACCAGACAAAAATGCCTGAAGACACAGGAAGATATAAACACACTTAGCATGCTTGATATATATGAAGGACATGTCTAGAACCCTGTATCCAAAAATGAGAGATGACATTTCTATCCAGCACACACAGAAAATTTACATAAATAGGATCACTTACTGAGCCACAAAAGAAATCTCAACTTATAACAACGACTATAATGAATAAATAAAATTGGAAATCAGTAATAAAATATACCCTAACTCTGTCTACCTCATTCCCTTCAAACTATTATTTTGGAGCAATGATATTTAACAAAATTTCAGAAAATCAAATCAACTAACATATATTTATGTACCAAACAGACTTTATCCCAGGAATGTAAGGTCAGTTGAACATCTGAAAAATCAATCAATATAATAGACCAAAATAGAAAACTCCTATGATCCTATCAATAAAAGGCAGAAAAAAGCATTTTATAAAATCCAATATCCATTTCTGATTTAAACTCTCAGCAAGCTAGGGATAGAGGGAACGTCCTCATCCTGACCAAGGGCACTGACCACAACAAACGCCAACATCACACGCCCGGTGAAAGGCTGCCCGCTTTCCCCAACGAACAAGGCAGAAAGGTCCATTGTCCCCGCTTCCACTCAGCTGTACTAGAGGCTCTAGTCAGCACAGTAAGACAAGAAGTAGATATAAAAAGTGTCCAGATTGGAAAGGAAGAAGTAAAAATGTCTTTATTCCCAAAAGACGTGGTCATCTATGTAGAAAATCCCATGGAATCTACAAAAAAGCTATTAGAACTGACATAAGTAAATTTAGTAAGTTTGCAAGATCAATATACAAAAACCAACTTTATTTCTGTATGACAGCAACTTGGAAATTAAAATTTTAAAGATGCCATTTACAGAAACATCAAAAATATGAACTCTTTAGGAATAAATCTAACAAAATGTGGGCAAGAAGTATACTAAAAAACCTATCTTAGTGTTATTAAAGAAAAACTAAATAGACTCAATGGGTTGGAAGACGCAATCTTCTTTTAGATGTCAATTCCCCCAAAGTCAATTTACAGATTCAATGCAAACCCAATCAAAATCCTAAAGTGATTTTTTTTTTTTACAAAATGGCAAACTGATTCTAAAATTCATATGGAAATGCAAAGAACCTATTATATAACTTTGAAAATGGAGGACAAAGTTGGCGTATTTACCCTAAACAATTTCAAGATTTCTAATAAAGCTACGGTAATCAAGGCAGCATGACATTGGCATAAAGGTAGACAAAGAACTAAATGGAAGACAGCAGACAACCCAGAAACGGACCCATGCAAAACAGTCAATTTGGAAAGAAGTCTAAACATCCTTCAGTACAAGCGGTTGAGTAAATGAAGATTTTTTCATTATGGTCCATCTCTGCGTGGAAAAGCTCGCAGGGGCAAGAGGCTGAGGGGACTCTCACACTCGGACACAGAAGAGCAGTGTACAGTACAGCACGTACGTCTAAAACACAAAACGTGCGGGGAGTGGGGGCTCTGTCTGTTTTAAAGGTCTGGGAGGAATTCACCAAGTCACTCTTGGGATTGGGAGCAAGGATCAAAGAGGACACACAGACGTTAAGTTTTAGTGACTTGTTATTTTTAAAAGTGAGAAACACTTCATATTGTCCTCACAGGACAAGGGAGTGCTACAACTCTAGCAGGTGTGTGAAGGCAGCTGGCACACAGCTGGCACACCGCTGGCACACCGCTGGCACACCGCTGGCACACAGCTGGCACACCGCTGGCACACAGCTGGCACACAGCTGGCACACAGCTGGCCCTTAAACAGTGTCAGTTTCCTTCCTTCCATCCACCTTTCTTCAACATCGCTGCAGCCATTTATTTATTACATATGTGTACATGAAGGTGCTGTTATACTGATTCTATTTCTCTTATAGCTTTTCATTAAAAAAAATATCCAAAAGCAAAACATAGATACATACAAAGTTAAAAACAGAGAGAAAAAGAAGATAGAAGCTATTAGATAAGGCAAATGTGAATATCAGGGTGGATATTGGAAACAAAACAGAAACCGTTATTCTACAAACACGACCATGAGTCCCCAGCTCCTGGAATACAGTGTGCGGTGCTGAAGGACTAACTACAAGAGAGATGTCAGGAAGCTGGAGAAGTTAAAGGAAAGGCCACTAAAAAGATCCAGAGGATAGAAGACTGCCAGGTAAGAAGCTAAAGGGTTCCGATTCTTCAGCGGAGATGAGCGAGGCTGCCATTGCACTCATTCTGAAGTACAGCCAACACAGTAAACGGATGGATAAGAACAGGACGGCCCTGGCTGGTGTGGCTCAGTGGATAGAGCGTGGTCCTGCGGACTGAAGGGTCCTGGGCTCGATTCCGGCCAAGGGCACATACCCAGGTTGTGGCTCGGCCCCCAGTAGGGTGCATGCAGGAGGCAGCCGATCCATGATTCTCTCTCATCACTGATGTTTCTATCTCTCTCTCCCTCTCTCTTCCTCTCTGAAATCAATAAAAAATATATTAAAAAAAAAGAAAAAGAATAGAATGACTAACCCTCACACAAGCCCAGCATCAGCAAGGACCCCTCAGCCACCTGGGGACAGTGCGGGACAAGCGTAGGGCAATCCCTCGCTGCCGCAGGAAGTAAAGGTAGGGCACCCACTTGGGGAGGCAGCCTGGGGGAGCCCTGTGCACTGCAGGGCAGAGGGGACCTGCAGAGCAGAAACAAGCCGGCAGAGAGCGGGGAGGGCGCAGCCTCAGGAGAGCGGCCAGTCTGTTTCCGCACCCTCCACCTGCTCCCCCAAGACATCCTGACTGATCTCTGCTCCTCACTATCCAAAGGGCTGCACCCGAAAATATGAACGATCCCGTGAACACGAGCGTGTTCCTGAAGAGGCCACTCAAATGTGGGGATGGGCTGCCAAGGGAGGTGAAACCCTTGCCGGCCTGAGCCTCAGCGCAGACCTCACAGCATTAGCACCCACGTGGACATGCTGACGGGTCTCCACGTCGGTCTGCAAGGAGCAACAGACATGGCCGAGTGTACCCACACGATGCTGGGCTCAAGGAGCTGACAGGGCCACAGCTCAGAAACCGTTATTCTACAAACGGGACCATCAAGTCAGCCTATGCCCCCGGCCCCTGACATCAGGCTGCCCAGCGGAGGAGCGGCCCATTGCTTCCCGTCCTCGGGGCAGGACAGGCTATGGAAGGCAGCTGGTGAGCGCTGACCTCCAATGCCTGGCTCCTCCGCCTCTGGCGGCACGTCCTGGCCACAGCGTGCAGACTTACCATGGCTTCCACTCCTGAGGCAGTGGGGCCACAATGCCCTCCCGGGCCAGCCACATCAGTTCCGGCTCCTTGATGGGATCAATACCTATCTCTCTGGCAAATTCAAAGATTTCTGCAAGGAGAAGCAAGAGGGTAGAAAAGTAAGAGAGGTGGATGAAAAGAAAAGTAAGTCACAATCACCTGTGAAATAATAAGAAATATATATGCTAGTCTCTGCCCCCAGGTCCTGAAACAGCTTCTAAAACCCTTGCAATCTCCCAAGTCCTAGGAGTTCTTCTGCCCAATGAGGAGACTCTGGCTAGACTCTAGTGGCCCTGGATGAGGCTGGTCACCAGAGACCAAGCCATGATTAGAAGCTTGGAACTCTCTGAGGCTCACCCCCATTCTCCAAAGAGGGGAGAGGGATTGGACATGAGTTCATGGATCATGTCTACATGATGAAGGCTCCATAAAAATCCCCAGCCAGAGCCCCCAGGAACCACCCACACCCCCACTCCACAGGACAGCGCTCCCACACTGGGGACCCTCCCAGAGCTCTCCGTGTCTCTCTTCATCCGGCTGTCCACCGCACCCTTTACCATACCCTTTATTATATAACAAACTGCACACATAAGTGCTTCCCTGAGTTCTGTGACCTGTTCTGGCAAGTCATTAAACCTGAGGACAGGGTGGTGGGAACTGTGGTCGGTGTACAGCTGACACACCCACAGAACCTGGGACCCCCGGGGACTTTGGATTAGTGTCTGAGGTCGGGGGCAGTCTTGTGGGACTGAGCCTTGACCTGTGGGGCTGACCCTAACCCCAGGCAGACAGTGTCAGGACTGCACGGAACAGCGGGACATCCCGCTGCCAGGGAGCTGGCTGGGAGGGGAAACCCCACACGTCTGGTGTCAGAAGCGTGGAGGTCAGAAAAGGAAAAGCAGGGTTTCTCCCCAAACTTTTCCACTCTGCCTTTACTTTCCAATTCCCTTCAGGGAGCAGTATTAGTTCTACATAATAAATATGTGTGATTTTCTTAAGTTACAGTTATAAAGGGTACATCTGAATCCAGCATGCTGTTACCATACTCCAAGAATATAATCTGAAGCCACGTTAAAGGCAAAGAAAATAAGACCAGGACTTCAGTGTGGGCTCAAGAAGAACAGCCAGACCGTCCTGAACGAGGGCAGCCTTCCCAGGACCCAAGCTCTCCCAAACCTGCAAAACCTTAATGCAAAAGTCCTCGCCACTCACACAGGCCTGGGCTGAAAAAGGACCAGCGAATGAGCCCCTTGGAGACCTGACCAATACACGACGGGGTACAAGCTGGTGGCAGGTGCTGCGGGGAGAGGTGCCGCGAGGGGAGAGGTGCCGCGGGGAGAGGTGCCCCAGAGCCACGGGAGCAGAGGCCGGATCCGAGGTGGCGGGATGATGAGCAGGCAGCCTCTTCCCACTCACTGAGCCTCTCCCGTGAAGGAAGATGCCTCTTCAATTGTGCGTTATGCTGTGAACGCTAACACTCCTGTTGTACTCTTTTGGAATCAAGAATTTAGAGCCCTAGCTGGTGTGGCTCAGCGGGCTGGAGTGTCATCCCATGCATTAAAGGAGGCAGGTTGATTCCCGGTCAGGGCCCATGCCTAGGTCTCGGGGTCACTCTGGTCGAATGGTCGGGGCATGTTAAGGAGTCAACCAATCGATGTTTCTCTCTCACAATCAATGTTTCTCTCTCTCTCAAAATCAAGTTTTTAAAAAAATTTTTTCAAACATTTAGAAATGCTCTCTTGCCAGAGATCTGGAGGAATACAGGAGGCACAGGTACTGAGTTAGGGGCTATCTCACCGAGAAGGAAAAAAAAGGTACACGAGGTAACCACGGAGTATGTCACCAGAGCCCTGGGAAGAACAAATCAATGCTCCAGGGGCATCAGTGCTTGAGCTGATACTGACCCTGGCCAGAGAGGCATCACAATAGGGGTCACCTCGGTGGAGAGTTTGGAGGGTGACATACCTGGGGACTAGGAAACAAAAGAACTTTCTCAAAGGCCCAGCTGGAATGCGGGAGCCAAGGGGCCACCTGAGTCACTGATTTCACAGCCGGTTTTGAGTGCCTCCTGTGCAGTCACCATGGCATGGACGAGAGGGGACACTGGGCATGGATTCCCAGTTCACTGAGTAGAGCTGTGTGACTGCAGAGAAGTCACTTAACCTTTCTGTGACTTGGCTTCTTCAACTTTAAAATGGGAATAATAAAAGTTCCTAACTCATGACTTACTATGAGCAAGTATATAGAGAGTTCTTACTACAGAGAATAGCACATAGTAGAATTTTGTTTTCATCAATATTAATAATATTATTGTTTTCGTTTAAAGAAAAACACGGCCAAAACCGGTTTGGCTCAGTGGATAGAGCGTCGGCCTGCGGACTGAAAGGTCCCAGGTTCGATTCCGGTCAAGGGCATGTACCTGGGTTGCGGGCACATCCCCAGTGGGAGATGTGCAGGAGGCAGCTGATCGATGTTTCTCTCTCATCGATGTTTCTAACTCTCTATCTCTCTCCCTTCCTCTCTGTAAAAAATCAATAAAATATAGTTAAAAAAAATAAAAAAAATAAAAGAAAAACACGGCTTTAGTTTGTTCTTAAGAAATTGGGTTTCCCTGGCCTCAGCACTCACTGCATTTCATAATATCCCCTACTGTATTTTCATTTAAAACTAAGCACTGGTCTAATCCAAGGTAGGCACACTTTTTCTGTAAAGGGTCAGACGGTGAATATTTTAGGCTTGTGGGTCACATGCTTTCTGTCACAACTTCTCAACAATGTCCTTGCAGCATGAAAGCAGCCACAGATTATAAATGGACAAGCAACAGGCCCAGCCAGCATGGCTCAGTGGTTAAGCATCAACCTATGAACCAGGAGGTCATGGTTCAGTTCCTGGTCAGGGCATGATCCCCAGTACGGGGCGTGCAGAAAGTGCAGGAAGCAGTCGATCAAAGATTCTCTCTCATCATTGATATTTCTTTATTTTTTAAAGGAAATTTTTGTTTTTTGTTTTATTGATTTCAGAGAGGAAAGGAGAGGGAGAAAGAGACAGAAACATCAATGATGAGAGAGAATCACTGATTGGCTGTCTCCTGCATGCCCCACACTGGGGACCGAGCCCGAAACTAGGGCATATGCCCTGACTGGGAATCAAACTTTGATATCCTAGTTCATAGGTCGATGCTCAACACTGAGCCAGGCCAGTCGTGCTCATCATTGATATTTCTCTCTCTCTCTCTCCCCCTCTCCCTTCCTCTCTAAAATCAATAAAAATATCTTTAAATTTAAAAAAAATTTTTTTCAAAAGCAAGCAACAGACCAGATTAGGCCCATGGGCTATAGTTTGCCAACCCTGTTTTAAGCCAAATAGACTGAGCAGCCCTGAGCATATACCATCTTTGCCTCAGAAGAATGACATTAAGTCAGAGCTGATTCCTGCCCTGGAAGAACTATTGCAGCACACGCCAGGCATCTTACCTTGCTCACTGGGGATGTAGGTCTCATCATAGTCTTCCTCCAGGACCAGCTGGTCTCCTATGCGGATGGGTCTTCCAGCCATGGCTGGTCTGGGCTCCAGGCCTAGACCCCAGAGACCCCCGCAAAGAGAGAATGAGTGCCCAGCTTAGATGAGACCGTCAGAGCTGCGTCATGGGGCCCCTAGGTCCAACCAGACCCTGCAAGCCAACCGCGCTGGGAATGTGCCAGACGCTGGGGGAACCCGGGCCTCCCGGCTCTGTGCCAGGAAAGTTTCCTGAGACACATCTCCCCCAGGTTTGCTGAACCCTCGGTGACCACAAAAGATCTGAGAACCAACTCAAGAGGTTGGCTTTCTACCCCTCAAATGAAGAAAGAACGAACAGCACAGCAGCCCCGGCTGGAAAACCCTAGTGATCAAAATAGCCAACAGCACACACACACAGCCCCACACACCCCCGCCAGTACCAGCAGCCCCCCATGGTCACACCGGCTCAGCAAGGCCCCTATTTACACCCAACAGTGCCTCGGGGAGCTCACCCTCTAGTGAAGGTAGCGCACTCAACCTCAATAGCAGTGCCCGGCGGAGGGAAAGCACGCCTGCTCTGAGCACTGGAGAGGAGAGTGGAGAGCTACGCCAGGCGCGGGAGCACCACGCGCAGACCGGTTCTGGAGCTGGGCACCAGCGCGAGCGACGGGGGCTGCACCAGCGTGCGGCGGAGGCAGAGGTGGAAAGCTGGGTAGACCATGTATAAGAGCCTTGACTCTGCCCTGTAGCAAAGGGGGCAGGGTCCCTGCGGGCTTCAGTGACAGAAAGTGACACGGTGGCCTTTCTTTAGGATGACAGCCCTGGCAGGAGTGGCAGGGCTGGATTAGAGAAAGAAGACTGGGCTCCAGAAACCACTGAGGCGCTGCCATCCAGGTGAGAGGCCTGAACGAGGGCAGAAGCAGCGGGAATGGAGAGGAAGGAACAGATGTGAGGGCTGCGTGGATGTTAGCAGGACTAGGATGAGAGGAAAGAGGGGGAAAGGAGTCCAACGGGAATCCACAGTTTCTAGCTTTGGGAGCAGGACAGTGCCAAATTCTCCAACCGACAAGCTGGTGCCATTCTGGAACTGCTCCTTTCCTGTCCCTGTAACCACCTCAGGACCCCAAGGCCAGGCCATCCTCCCGGACGGCAGCACCTACGCTGACGCCCAATAACAGAGACAAGCCGCCCTGTAGAGAAGCTGCCGCAGCCCTGACTGTGTCCCCCACCAAGGAGGCGCCAGTCACAGCTGCAACCAACAGCAGTCTGAGGAGCAGGTCCTGACCTCTCCAGCGGCTGCCACTGTCGCAGAGGAGTGAGCAGGACACCCCTGGGAGCAGGAAAAGCTGTGCGCACGGGGCTGGGAGCAGCCTGCACCGCATGCCAGGAAACGGCCAGGCCTGGTCCTTCTGAATCTGCTCCAAGATTCCCAGAGAGGGACCCTGATCCACGGCATGGGATCCATGAGGGGCCATTACCAAGGCCCCCTCTGCAGCCTGACGGCTGAGGGATGGACAAGAGAGGTGTCTGGCCTCAGGACGCACAGGGAGCAGGCTCTGCCACCTCTCGCTCCCACGGCACCATGGAGCAGCATGGCAGGAAGGCAGGCTGATGAAGCAGCATCTTCTCCCTCTGCAGGCATGGGCCCCGCGGGAATCTGGCCTCTGCCACAGGAGCCCAAGGACGCCTTGTGGACCTCGCGCTCCAGACTCGACACACACAGACTCTGCAAAGGCAGAGCCAGAAAGACCAAGAGCAGCGCACATGGCCACTGTCTGGGGCTTATCTAATCCTCGGGGTTGGGAGGAGAGGGAGAGGGAAGATCTCTGGGAGGGAGGAACCAAGGGCGGCCTGAACATCAGGCTGAGAATTAGTCACTCCAGCAGGCGGTGATCTATACAGGCCTTGTGTCAGCTACTCAGAGAAATCCTGCATCTGAGAAATGGTACCCACCCCTGGACACATCCCATCTCTAGAAAGCACAGCAGATGCAATCTGTCCTTGTAGTGAAGTGCCTAATTAGCTATGGACATAGTTATCCACGTTAAGCTATTTAAAGGTCAGAAAGGTCCTGGAAGGTCCTGGAAATCTGAACTCATGGATCACGAACCTGCCAGAAAATTTTTTAAAAAGTGTGGGTTATATTCTACCTTCTTTCCTCACTTTGCCTAGCTCCAGAAAAGAGTGGGCAGGGACAGGGCCAAAAGAGCAGGAACTATCGGATTGAGGGAGGTGGCGGGAGAGAAACCATATTTATTTAATGGCTACCAGAGACCATTTACTCATTCGAGCACTATGCAGGGAGCTGCGTTTACTTATGGCTGTGCACTAGAGATGTAATGGTGAGAAAAGCCATTCTGCTGCTGCTCCCCTTGTCTATGGCCTCAAGAAGGAGGGTGACAAACATCCCAAAGTCACAGATAAATGTACAATTATAAACGAGGTCGAGCTTTGGAAGAAATGAACCTGACGTTAGCCTATGCTGAGGACTGAAGGTACGTATTCACTGGACAGAGTGGAAAAGGTGTTCCCACAGAACCAGCAGCGCGTGCAAAGGCCCTGCAACAGGAAAGCACACCAAGCAAAAAGCAGCGTGGCTGCCAACGCTGCTGGGGACATGGGTGGAAGCCATGCCATGCCGAGAAGTTGGCCTTCATAATAAGAAAGCCAGGAAACGCTTTTTTAGATATACCTTTTGAAAAGATCACTCTGGCAGCCACTGGGAATGCAGACTGGAATGGAGGCCAGATCAGAAGGGAGAAAATCCAAGTGGCTGCAGAGAGATTAATAAGAAACAGTGCGCTAGTGTAGGTGAGATATCATGATAACCTGGACTCCAGGGGTAACAGGGAAGATGAGAGGTCTAAGAGAGCAGCCTGAGATCTGCTACTGCAAGTACATGGCACATGTCCTAACATTTCCTTCCAAGTCTGAGACTGTCCATCACAGCAGCCTACATGACTTCAGAACCATCAGTAATGTACTCCTGTAGCACTTAGCAACAGGTCAGATGAAATGTGATGAGATCTACTTGCCACCAGGCCCGAGACCCTCTATGGGCCATAATAATCGCAGGGGAGGGGTCATCCAATTGCACTCATCCATCTCCTGCCAATCCTAGAATCTAGAAAAAAAAAAAGTGGCTCATGTACCTCCTCCAGGCAGCCCTCCCTGGCTAACCTCAGCTACTCCCATGAACACATAACCTCCTCAGCAGTAAGGACAGTTTTCATGTGTTCATAGGCATATTACTCCTAATATTACTTTGTTCATGGGAATATGTTCCCCTCCCTGTTAACCACAAACTTATGAGAGCCATGCCTCCTCCCTCCTCTGCATTTTCTGACCAAGCCCAAAATAAGGTATATAAACTGTAGGAGCTCTGTCTGCTATAAACCACTAACATAGAGCCAAGGAATCTCAGAGTCAAAAAACCTGTAAGACCTTTGGTCTAACTACTCCTCCCATGCCAAAATCTTCCTCTCTATGCTGTAAGTGACAGACGGCACAGTGGTCCAAGGACCGGCTTCAGGGCCAGAAACTCCTGAATTCAGCTCTCTCCTTACCGGCTGTATGACCTTAGGCAAATTTGGCAAGGCCCTTCACCTCCTGTGTATAATGGAAACTCATGATAATCTACATCAAAAGGTTGAGGATGAAATGAGATACTTCTCATAAAATATTAGGAGTAATATGCCTCTAGTATGCATATAAGATCTTTGGTTAATCTCTTCCCACCCTCCCCCCACCCCCTTCCCTCTGAGATTCATCAGTCTGTTCCATGTTTCCATGCCTGTGCATTGAGCATCTGCCCCCTGATGGTCAGAGCGTGTCATAGCTACCAGCGGAACAGTCATTTAGGCTTTTATATATATAGACTAGAGGCCCAGTGTACAGATTCGTGCACTGGTGGGATCACTCAGCCTGGCCTGCAGGGATCGAGCCAAAACTGGCAGTCCAACGTCCCCTGAGGGGTCCTGAATTGCGAGAGGGTGCAAGCCAGGCCAAGGGACCCCACTGGTGCACGATCGGGGCTGGGGAGGGACCGCGGGAGGGCTCCAGGGCGAGTCCGGCCCATCTCGCCCAGTCCTGATTGGCCGGACCCCAGCAGCAAGCTAATCTACCAGTTGGAGCGTCTGCCCGCTGGTGGTCAGTGCGCGTCATAGCAACTGGTCAAACGGTTGAACGAACAGTCAGACACTTAGCATATTAGGCTTTTATTATAGTATATAGGACTAGAGGCCCAGTGCACAAATTCGTGCACAGGTGGGGTCCAGCCAGCCCACCCTGATCAGGGCCAATCAGGCTGGGCTGGCTGGGGGGAGGGACTATGGGCGGGTGGCCAGCCGGCCCTGCCCCCTGCTTGAATTCCCAATCAAGGGGACAATTTGCATATTAGCTTTTTATTATATAGGATTAACTATGAAAAGGTCTTGCCCATATTAAGCCAAAAATCACTTCCTAAGAAGTTTCCTCTCATTTGCCTGTTCTGCCCTTTGGACCTAGAGAGCACCCCAGGCTTCTCTACTCTAGACTAAGCCTCCATTCATTGCACGTATACCCCCCACCCCTGGGCATCAGTTACCTTCCTAATGCTGTTGATTTGTCAGCATGGCCAACAGCTTGTACATCTGAACACTAACAAAGCACCCACACGCGCTCCCGCACACACACACGCACATGCACACGCACGATTACAGTTCCTGCATATTTATTCCTTCCGACCTGCTTGCACAATTTTAAAGAAAGTTCACCACAGTGGGGAGTAAATTCCTGGAGAAGGCTTTGGGGAGAAGCAGAAGACACAGAGTTGATTATGTAGTGGCAATGAGAACAGGTCTTAGAACATGCTTGGATTTAATCTCAGCTCTACCACTTACCACCTGGCAAGTTGCCTCAGTTTCCTCATCTGTAAAATGGGGATAATAACAATATCTATCTCAAAGGGTTGAGAGAGATATGATTCACTACATATAAAATACTTAAAATATATTAAGATCTCAGTAATTGTCAGTTGTTGTTATTACAATTCACTTCTTTAAAATTTTTTTTATTGTTGAAAGTATTACAAATATCCCTCTTTTCCCCCCACTGACCCCTCCTCCCCGCTCTCGTCCCCACCCCAGGCCTTCACAGCATTAATGTCTATGTTCATGGGTTATGCATATATGCATGTAAGATCTTTGGTTAATCTTTTCATGCCCTCCCTCTTCTCTCTGAGATTCGTTAGTCCATTGCATGCTTCCATGTCTCTGGATCTATTTTGTACAATTCACATTCCGAAAGGCCTTATTTTACATTGTTCCAGAAGACAAACCCAGTACGAGGGAGTATCAATTAAGACCATTTAGCCCTAGCCAGTTTGGCTTAGTGGATAGAGCAGTGATGGCGAACCTACGACACACGTGTCAGAGGTGACACGTGAACTCATTTTTTGGTTGATTTTTGTTAAATAGCATTTAAATATATAAAATAAATATCAAAAATATACATCTTTGTTTTACTATGGTTGCAAATATCAAAAAATTTCTATATGTGACATGGCACCAGAGTTAAGTTAGGGTTTTTCAAAATGCTGACATGACGAGCTCAAAAGGTTCGCCATCACTGGGATAGAGTGTCAGCCTGTGGACCAAAGGGTCCCAGGTTCCATTCCAGTCAAGGGCACATACCTCGGTTACAGGCTCCTCCCCAGCCTGGGCCCTGGTCGGGGCGCGTGCAGGAGGCAACCAATCGATGTGTTTCTCTCACATCACTGTTTCTCTCTGTCTTTCCCTCTCTCTCCCTAAGAACCAATGGAAAGTATCCTCGGGTGAGGATTAACAACAACAACAAAAGACCATTCAGACATTCAATAACCAGCTACTGAACACCAGCCTGGGTCAAGCACCGTGCTCACTGTCAGGGCTACCAACCTGGTTACACATGATCATATAAAATGTTAAGCACATTAAGGGACTTAACAAAATACAATGGGACACAAAAGGGCAACTAAGCTTACTCTGGAGATGAGGCCCGTGGAAGTGGTGGTTGAAGGACAAGCGGCAGCTCCCCAGGAGAGGGAGCAGGGAAATGTATGGCAGCAGCAGCAGCGTGCACAAAGGCAGGGCAGGAAAGAACACGGGGTGCAGAGAATTCATTGTGACAACAAAAGTTTACAATCACTGAACTCTGCCTACATTCCAAGAACTGTGCTAATGCTTACATACATCATCTCACCTTATCCTCTCAGCTAGGAAGAGAGTATTGTCCCCATTTTTCAAATAAGGAAACTGAGTCTCAGAGCAAGGTTTAAATGAGTGGTTCCCAATGGGGCACATGCCCCACAGGGGGGCAATTTGATTGTTAAGGGGAGCAATTCGAGAATGAGTTATTAACAGTGAATTTTTTGCATTTCTTATGGTTCTAGGGGCTTCATATACAGTCTTATTAATATACTGTGACATGCCGAAACCGGTTTGGCTCAGTGGATAGAGCGTCAGCCTGCGGACTGAAAGGTCCCAGGTTCGATTCCGGTCAAGGGCATGTACCTGGGTTGCGGGCACATCCCCGGTGGGGGATGTGCAGGAGGCAGCTGATCGATATTTCTCTCTCATCGATGTTTCTAACTCTCTATCCCTCTCCCTTCCTCTCTGTAAAAAATCAATAAAATATATTTTAAAAAAATATATACTGTGACATATTTATGCATTTTAGTTCTCTATTATGTTTTGAAACTTTGCTATTTTTTCATGTCACTTCATATTATTATATTCTTAACAATTTCTTAGTGATTTCTTCCTCAGGACTTCAACTGTCCTTTCGTTCTTTGATTTTTCTCTTTCATGGAGGTCATGTTCTTTGGAAGCTTGTTTAGGCCAAGTTAATGGCCTTTTAGGCTTCCTCCACATGAATAGGAGTTCACTTTTTGAATAATAAGAATTATATGTCACGGGGGGACATCAGGATTTTAGAGATGCTTAGGTGGGGCATGGCCAAAACCAGGTTGGGAACCACTGGTTTAAATAAAACACAATTTGTCCAAGGGGGCACAGCTAGTAAAAGGCACAGCAAAACATGTGCACACCCACATGCACGCGATTCCAAAGCCTGAGCCCGAACCACTGTCATGACCAGAGCGCAAGGGACGGTGGGAGGAAGGGGCACACGGTGAAGGACTGTGTCCTGTGCCTGAGGAGGAGTGGTCACGGGATGTCACACAATCAGGACGGCTGTGTAGTAAGCACTGATTCGAGGAGGGCAAGAACAGAGGCCGAGGGTCCACGGAGGAAGTGACCCTGAAAGCACAGGCAAGAAACTGTGAACTCAAGTGGTGGCTGTGAGAACGGGAAGGAAGGGCCAGATTCCATGGATATTAGGAGAATTACTGGGCTTGAAGTCTACACCAAGTGAGGGAGAGCGAGGTGGGAAGTCAGAGCACTTAAGCCAGTATCCTGTTCACGGTTATCTTGTCATTTCTGCACCTTGCCATCAGCGCATCTAGCATACCAGCTAGAAGAGAGAAAATTCCCAGCAAGTGTCTGCTGCAAGCATTAGAGGAATTCCAGGTGCAACTGGGCCTCGTGAATGGTGACATCCTTCTCGGAGACAGGAAGAACAAGAGGAACAGATCTGAGCTCAGGAAAGAGGCCTGGTTGGAGCCACAGTTAGTGGGAATCACCATTAAATAGATGGTAACCCAACCTCTGGGTGAAGTCACCCAGAGCTGCCTGTGGTGGGTAGAATGGAGGGGCTGCAAAGGCAACTGAGGAAGGCTGCGTCAGAAAAACCAGGAGAACCCCAGGGGTGGCTCAGTGGACTGGAGGCCCTAGAAAATGTTGCAGGGTCGATTCCCAGTCAGGGCATATACCTGGGTTGCAGGGTCAATCCTGGGAGGCAACCAATTGATCTTTCTCTCTCCCTCCCTCCCTCTCTCTCTCTCTCTCTCTCTCTCTCTCTCTCTCCAATCAATATTTGTCTCTCTTCCTCCCCTTCCTTCTCTCTCTCTCTCAAATCCATAAAAACATATCCTTGGATGAGGATTAAAGGAAAAAAGCAGGAGAGGAATCTTGGAAGCCAAGTGAGGACAGCAGGAGAAGGCAGATCTTTTCAAATCAATGCAAGGAAATTAAAAAAGAAAACCAAAAGTTTTCTAACAGCCGAAACCGGTTTGGCTCAGTGGATGGAGCTTGGGCCTGCGGACTGAAGGGTCCCAGGTTCGATTCCGGTCAAGGGCATGTACCTGGGTTGCGGGCACATCCTCAGTGGGAGATGTGCAGAAGGCAGCTGATCGATGTTTCTCTCTCATCGATGTTTCTAACTCTCTGTCTCTCTCCCTTCCTCTCTGTAAAAAATCAATAAAATATATTTAAAAAAAAAAAAAGTTTTCTAACCTTCCCAGCTGCCGCAAAGAGGGAAAGGGTCTGGCTAGCCCTGGAGTCGCCCCGAGGAAGCTGTCCCACAGGAGAGGCGCCCACGCCAGGCCCGCGGCGGCCGTCCGCCCGCGCCGGCGGCCGCAGCCCCGCCCGGCCCGGCCCTCGCCGCTCGGGGGTCCCGGCAGAGGCTCACGGCCCGCCGGCCTTTCGCCTCCTTCCTGCAGTTCCTGCCCACGCTCGCGCACACCCGCTCGTTGGCCCAGAGTGCCTCGACTCTCCCGCTCCCTCCTCTCCCGGTCCCCCATCCCTCCTCCGAGGACGTCCTCACCGGTCCCCGAGGCGGAGGCTCCGGGCGAGGGCTCCCGGCTCTGCACAGCTTCCCAGCACCACCCCGGCTGCCCCGCTCCACCCCGGCTGCCCCGCTCCCCGCTTCCAGGGACGCCGGGGTGTTGCCCTGCAGCGGCCCACAGCCACTTCCGTTAAGGGTAACAACGTAGCAACTGAGAGTCCCGCCTCTACCCGGAGCCAATAGGTCGCAGAATGAGAGCTCTGACATTGGATTGGTTAGGCGTCCTGTCGGCTCACGGAAGAGTGCTGCACCTTTCCCATTGCACAATGGGAGATGTAGTCCAAGATAGTCGCTGTGGCTCCGCTTGGGGCTAAAAGAAAGCTCTGAATTTAGATATGAGGGGAATTCCTTCCCAGGCAGCAAAAGTGCATTCACTGCATGTATAGTAACGTAAATTAACTAGGGAAATTTATTGCTCATCATTTTTTAAAATATATATTTTATTGATTTTTTACAGAGAGGAAGGGAGAGGGAGAGGTAGAAAGATCGATGAGAGAGAAACATCGATCAGCTGCCTCCTGCACACCCCCTACTGGGGATGCGCCCGCAACCAAGGTACATGCCCTTGACTGGAATCGAACCTGGGACCCTCAGTCCGCAGGCCGACGCTCTCTATCCCCTGAGCCAAACCAGTTAGGGCTACTCATCATTTTTTAGTAGTGTGATTAATATCAGGTGAACAACACACTGATCATAAATAACCCATAAGCCTTTAATAAGCAACGGAAATGTGAATATAAGGTCATAGAACACTCAACCCCCCCCCCCCTCAAAAAACAAAAAACAAAAAAGAATGGCTGCCTTGTGCTCTGATTAAATCAATGAGCACCTGACACGGAGTTAAGAGACTAGTTTCTACTGTCCATCCTTTCACCAGAGCATGGACTCAGTTTGCATATCTGCAAAGTGGGAATAATATCTGTCCTAACTAATTTGAAGAGACTGTTTAAGAGGAAAAAGAGTGACACAATGTATAACCTCTCCACACACCCTATTTGGCAGAAGGGTTGCTACTAATATAACTCCAAAGAGTAGGTAAGTGTGGCAAAGACAACTCTGGCCATTATCAACCATACAACTGGGGGACAGGAAAGTTAAGAGATGTTACTATAACCGGAATCAAGGTTCTGCTGCCTGCACCATGAAAACCAAACTCATGAGACCGATGCTGGTGAAAAAGGAAAGGTTTGAGTGCTGGGGGACTCGACCCAAAGCCCATCTCTGCATCTCAGTGCAGGCAGAGGTTTTTATAAGGAGAGGCAATGCAGAACAAAGAGATCAAGGGGAGGGGGTTGAGAAGTTCTCTGCGTGCAGGCCAGCACAGTCCATTCCGGTAAGGATCTTGAAACTGTCAAGTGATGGTCTGATGTGCGTCATCTGGTTCTACATCATTCTGGTTCTGTCTCATCCTCCATCTATGGTTGAAGATCAGCCAGTCTCCCAGAACTGGGATGACTGGAGGCCGGAGTCTGCATCTTCTGAAGTTAGTTCCTAGGATTCTTATACAAGCATGCTGTTCTCTACAAGCTATGTACATATTAGAGTCAGCTTTTACAGAAAGTGTCAAAAAATGGTGGGGTGGGTTACAATTCCCCACCGTTAGTTACATTGCTGGTTGAAAGGAGAGGGGCACACCCAGAGAAGCTCCTGATAAGTTCCACTGTGGAGAGGCATCTGGCTCCCACTAACTCCCCAAACTAGTCCCAGGGCCACTCGGGCCGATTCCAGAATGAGGAGACCAGGTTGTTGTTCCTGCAGATCCCCAGCCAGATTCCCAGAACGTAGTCCTTCCTCATGTTTAACCTTAAATCTTGCCGTGGCAGGTCTGCCTAGACTTCCTTTATTCTGCCTGCACATGACAAAGCCTCGCTCCCCCTTCCTTTCCACTCTCCTTAAGAGTCTCAGAGAAGCCAGACACCGACTGCAAGGAACTCGAAGGGCTCGCCAGTTTACATCACAAACCTTGCACAAAACAGGGACTCAAAAAACCTCTTGTGGACTTGCTCCCTATGTTTCAGAACTTGCAATCAATTTGGTAGACTTTAATAGCCGTCAAAACTCTTACCTTTTGTCCCTTAGCATGTGTCCCTCGCTCTGTCGTGGGGAGAACTAATAAAATAAGGGTCATTGTGGAATTAATGGGATTACCTCACACAGATAAGCAATTTGCATTTTATCAGGTTTCCCTATCGGTTTGTACTCAGAAATGCAAACCAATGTTTAAATGCCCTTAGGCTAACATAATTAAGAAAGCAAGTCTTGCCCAGCCGGGTGTAGCTCAGCGGTTGAGCGTTGACCCAGGAACCGAGAGGTCACCGGTTCGGTTCCCGGTCAGGGCATATGCCCAGGTTGTGGGCTCGATCCCCAGGAGGCAGCCGATCAGTGGTTCTGTCTCATCATTGATGTTTCTATCTCTCTCTCCCTCTCCCTTCCTCTCTGAAATCAATAAAAATATATTAAAAAAAGAAGAAGAAAGCAAGTCTTTGGGGGGAAATAACACAAATGACACCCACGGATGTGCTGGTAATATGCCCAGTAAGTGAGGAAGAGAGATGGGATTTCACACAGTAGGTTTCCTTCTCCAGTCAGGGATACATAGGGATGATTTTTCAAAGACAGGGGAGGAAAAAACCCCGTTAGTCTCAAATGTTATGCCCTACCCCCAGGTCAGAAATTCCACTGTTAAAACATTTATTCTTGTTTCATGCTGTTTACTTATAATATACAAAATAATCAACCACATAATAAGAAAGAAAACACTCATTAATCCTGCCATTTAAAGAAAATTATATAAAGATGTGAAATGTTCCCTCTACACTTTCAATCCACCCTATTTCACACTGCAAGCTGCCCACCCTTCTCCCCTCTGCTTTATTTTTCTCCATACAGCATGTCACCACCTGAAATACTGGATATTTATTTCTTTATTGTCTGTCTCCCTTTCTTTATTGTCTGTAAACTGCATGAGGGTGGGAGGTTTGTCCATATTGTTACATCCACAGTGCCTAAACAGTGCTTAGATAGAACGCAGTAAGCACTCAAAAAACATTGGCTGAAGAATGAATGAGTGAATGATTGGCTGACTGAATGAATGAATGAATGAGCAAACGAAGGAAGACATGAATCCCACCCTTTGGAGGAAACCACTTTTGGTTCCTGTCTATCAGACCTTTTCATGTTTATGTGGATGTAAATTTATATGCAAACATGTGCATACTTTTTAATTTTTACAGAAATGAGGTCATAATGTACTTATTGTTCTACAATGGGCTCTTTGCAATTAACATGTCATATACAGTTTCCAAGGTAAATTTCATAAGAAGTTACTCCAGACCTGCCGGCTTGGCTCAGTGGTTTGATGGTTCGATTCCCGGTCAGGGCACATGCCCAGGTTTCGGGCTCAATCCTCAGGGGGAGGGTGCAGGAAGCAGCTGATCAATGATTCTCTCACATCATAGATGTTTCTATCTTTTCCTCCCTATCCCTTCCTCTCGGAAATCAATAAAAATACTTGTTTTTAAAAGAAGTTACTCCAGTCTGTTGTTGTTAATCCTCACCCGAGGTATTTTTTTCCATTGCCTTTCCAGAGTGGAAAGGAGGGAGGGAGGGGGGAGAGACAGAGAAACATCGATGTGAGAGAAACACATCAATTGGTTGCCTCCAGCAGGCTCCCCAATCAGGGTGGGGATTGAACCTTGTATGTGCCCTTGACCAGAAATCGAACCCTTGACCCTTTGGTAAGCGGGCCGACACTCTCTCCACTGAGCCATGCCGGCCAGAGCACTCTATTGTTTTTTCTTTTCTTTTTTCTTCTTTAACATATTTTTATTGATTTCAGAGAGTGATGGATCCTCCCTTCCCCCAACTGGTGGGCGGAGTATGATGTAACCTGCAGCCCAGAAATACCTGCGTGACTAACCAGGTACCTTATATGGACTATACATTGGACCACCAATCCGCACCTGCCAAATACCCTAAGCCCTTGTCCTATATGGACCATGCAGTAAGCCACCAATCAGTGTGCGCCGAGTACACTAAGCCCCCACCCCTTCCCATTCCGCCCCTCAAAAGGCGTGCTCACCCCTGCACGTGCTGCTGTGCTCCCCTTGCGAGACAGCCCGGCAGGTCCTTCTCCTCTAATAAAGCCTGTAGTCCTGGTTTTCCGCCTCTGTCTGATTTTTCAGAGAGGAAAGGAGAGGAAGAGAAAGAGAGATAGAAACATCAATGATGAGAGAGAATCACTGATCGGCTACCTCCTGCACAGCCCACAACCCGAGCATGAGCCCTTGACTGGAATTGAACCCAGGACCCTTCAGTCCGGAGGTCGAAGCTCTATCTGCTGAGCCAAATCGGCTAGGACGGCACTCTATTCTTTATAATGCTTTCATAGCATTCCAGTCAATGAATGTCTCATTCACTTATTGATAATCACTTATTTTGTTTTGAAATTTTTGTATTTGAAATACTGTTATTTTTGTATAGAATTCTAGAATTGACATTGCTCAGAGTATGTTTTTTACATTTTAATAGACATTGCCAAATTTCTCTATAAAAACAGAATAATTTTTAAAAAGAAAAAAAAAGAATAATTTACAGCCCAACCAACACTTTCAAAACACCAGATATTACCAACATGAGAAAAAAAATAATGAATAATGATGTTATCTAAATGTTGATTTAATTGCATTACTTCACTATGAATGAAGTTAAGCTTTTTTTCATGTTTATTGACCATTTGAATTTCTTCTATTAATTACCAGTTTAAATTATTTATTCATATGTCTACCAGGTTGTTGGGGGGGATTATTGATTCCTTGTATTATAGAAATTTACTTTTTGTCCCTCTATTGTGTGCCAAATGTTACCTTCTAGTCTGTGACTTCTCTTCTGATTCTGTCAGTGTACTTTTTCTCCCAAGTTGTAGTACTAATAACATTAATCGCTGTATCCTGAACCCTGACTCCTTGGAGCCACCGCATTTTGCGCGGTGCATGTGCCTTTATTCTGCAGGGCCTGGCAGAATGCCTGGCGCACAGTGGGTGCTTAATAAATGCAAGACGAAGGACTGACAGAATGCGAGGTCGGCACCACTCTCTGCTCGTGGGTCCTCCCG